CTTGAGCAACTAATGACTATTAAAAACAAAGACGGATAATGTAAAAAAAAAAAAAAAAGGTCAGCTGTGTGTCGGCATAGTTTGCTTCGCTCGGTAAGTAAACAGCTTTTTCTCGGGTAAACCGTGCAAATGTCATCTCTATGTTAAGCGTAGTGACAGAAAACATAAATGTGTTGCCTCTGTCTCAGAAATCACAATTTAAAGGACCCCGAGAGCAGGAAGCGAAAGATTCTTTGCTCTAAAGTGGATAAGCTGATTTCCAGCACACTTTTTTTGTTTTTCTTGTTTTTGTCTTGCTGATGCATTCAGCCCCCACATCTATTACCGTTATACGTGTTCTGTTGGGTTGTTTCGCTCCGTAATGGCTGTTAAAATTAGTTTCCAGGCAGCTGCAAATATACCTGTGATAAATAGAAATGAAAGCAAATAGCTTTCAAAATGCTCTCTTGCACGAGCATGGCCCCCAGACCCACGCTAGCTGTGGTAGGTTTTGCTTTATCCCTGCGATGCTCTCTTCCTTTTCTTATTTGCGTCTTACCTGCCGGCACCTTTGCACCGTGAGGAATCGACCATCCAATATGACGTTACAGTGATTACAGGACTGAAAATTATAAAAAGGAAAAATAAACTAGCGGCCGTGTTCTGTTTTGCATTCAGACTCGCTGTGACATACCAGACTAACGATTATGACCCAGAGGACAGCTGAAGTATGTGTAACCCCGCTGATTGGATCTGCTGCTCGCGAACAAGCAAACAAGGGAGACTAAGAAATGATTAAATAAACACTGATGCAGCTTCACTTTGCATAGAAATTCTTATCGGCCCTTTGCATCATGCCCTCGAAAAAGCTGCATAAACAGCCCGAGGAGCTCCTGTGGTTTTTCAAGGTAATCTGTAAGTGCAACTCCTGCCAGTTAATCTGATTGATACACAACATATTAAGAGGATTATTTGTTTTTTATACATCGTCCTATATGCAGTCCTCTCAAGTTCAGAGTGAAAAACAATGTGTTGATTCCATCTGACAGCAGCAGAGCATGCAGGGATAAAGGGCCGTCCGGAGAGATGCTCCTTTGTCACCGTTTAAACGGGCTGGGGAGCGGGAGGACACGGATGAAAGGGGAGGAAAAAAAGATAATGGAGAAGGGGAAGGGAGTATCTCCATAAATAATTAATGACGCCATAGCGGCTGGAAGAAACACCAGCGCTACTTGTAAAGTAAGCTGTCCATAAACACACCCACGCCGCAGCGAAGGCAAACACCGGCCGGCCGGCGATACGCAAACACGCGCCGAGAGGAACCTTTAAACATCACAGTGACTTGAACAAGCTCCGGTGATGCAGAATTCACACCGTCATTACGAGGATATCGAGAGCTTAAAGGAGATTTTAGAGTAAAGTTTCGCATTATTGGGAAATCCGGCAGCCGAGAGACTTTAAGACAATGAATCGCGCCGCAGGTTTTGTCCTGTAGGATGAAAGCATCGCGCAACGGAGCCGATGCGAGATTAGTCATTACAGAGCTGGGTAATCTAGCAGTCAAGCGCTGTACAGTAGCCTCTGATTTTTCCAACACTTTGAGGCTTAATCTTTTGGTTGCTAATGAGGTATTTTGGTTGCATGTTAAGTCTTTGCCATCCCACTGGAGAAACATGAAGAAAAAAAAAAAACGAGATGAACTTCTGAAAAAAAAAAAAAAACGAGATGAACTTCTGAACGATCGGGGTGCAACACTGGCGCTCAAAGAGGCGCTAAAGGAAAGAAAAAAAAAAAATACCGCCTTTAAAGTTCCCATTTACACACATGCTGACAAATGTGATAAACACACACTGCGAGCTCTAATACTTCATGGGAGTTCATCATCACTGGAGTGAGAGAAAAAGCAATGAGGCTTTTTGGCAGATTTCCTGCTCACCCAGGGTTGACAAATTGCCAAGGCTCTCTGTCACAGCTCCACTTTCAGGCTGCTAACTGTTTCATCTGCCATGATTTAGATCTCAGGCATAAAAGTAGCCTCTCGGAAATGCATATTCCTCACACCTTAATTTGCATCAAACAACGCGGCGCAATTACAGTCACTTTGTATAGTAATTTGTGCGAGACAAAGCTCAATGAATCAATAACTACTTTGTTGCTGCTGTATGGAATCACGTCAGGTAAAAAAATAAAATAAAATTCCCCCAGACTGGCAATTTTCAGGGTAAGTACGTGAAACAATCTTCCCTAAGTAGCACAAGTAATTAAGGTGTTTTCCAGTCAAGGTAATCTACAGACTGTCATAGATGTCGTTTGGGGGGTGTTAAGCACACCAGCAACTCTAATATCCCTATAAATTACCTGGAAAGTTACAATAAAGGCAAACAAACCACGACAGGGCAACACAGCTCGGTAATATATCAAGATGAAACGCTAAACTTCAGCCAGTCTCAATAATTACTGATTATTTTGAATGATATCTTTATTAGCGACCAGACATAAGAAAATATGTGAACCACCTTACTTTGAGTTTAACCACTTTAATAATCGAAGGGCAGAGGAATATGTCAAAAACATGCAAATGAATCTATTTGAATACTAACAAAGATAAACAGGGAAGAAAAAAATATGTTCTTACCTTGATACAAATCAGTTTTGAGGTTAAACTGACATAACGTGATAACTTAAACTGAAAAGAAAGCTCATGAATTTGGTAAATAAAATTCACCTATCCATCTGTTTGCGATGCGCCCGCTTTGTCCTGTAGAGGGTTGTAGGGTGGCTGGAGCTAATCCCTCATGATACAGGCACTGGACAGGTCCAACACAGGGTCTGGTACTAATGGTGTACAAGTTAGAAGTGTTTTGTAAACCTTGAGTCCCTGGAGGTGGACGACTGGGAGTCACCAGACAATGATTTCCATGCATCACGTAGATATGGGGTCGTGGGTGTTTTTAGATCATGAAGCCCTAAGGGCAACCACCGGCCCCCCGCTGGCTGCAGCCTCCACCCATAGACTGTAGATGAGACGTAGCTATGTCATCACCCGTTGGTTTCTGCACTGAGAAAATGAAGCCAGAGTTTTGCTACTTCCTGGTTGACATCTTGGATTTTTGGAGCCAGCGACGCAAAAATCGTCAGAGGGGGGCGGAGCCATAGGAGCAGCGATTGGTCAGACGGGTTGAGAGGCGGGCCCTCTCTGCCCCGCCCACATTTAC